TTATATAATTGTTGCTTAATATAATTGTTATTTTCAGCTATTCATTTTTAACTCTTCTTTTCAGTTGTTTCAGGAATTTCAAATCATTTTATATAGTAGACAATGTAGTATAGTAGAAATGCATCATGAAACATTGTCAATCACTTCCAAACATTCATTATTTCAGTTACTGTACATATTTGAAAAAAATACCGAAACACGTCAAATGTATATTATAATTTGTGATTCTTCAACGTAAAGATACCACCCCAATCTTCAACCCTCTTTGAATGAAAGGTACAAACCCCAATTTTTTTAATGGGAAATATAGCTTTGTGATATATCGTTTGAAAAATCTTTTCATTCTCTATTCAGAAATATTATCGCTTTCAACTTTATTGCAACAATTGAGATTGAATAAATTGAAATCACATGGTTACCGAAATTCGATGAAATGCACTGAAAACATAAATGTAATGCAAAACGTGATGAAATGTAGAATACGAAAAAGAACTACGGATGTTAACGAAATAGATGTTCAAAATGTTCACCGCGACTGTCTTGGCAACATCCTAATATCGAATAAAACTGTCTTCTAACATTATTTAATCGTGACCGACCTAATCGCAAGCGTTATTTGTTCTTTTAAGTCATTCAAATATGTAGTTTTAGTTTTGTACACATTGCTCTTTACATATTCCCATAAAAATAAATCTAATGATGAAAGATCAGGTGATCGCGCTGGCCATTCAATCGATTCTCGCCTCCCTATCCACCGATTGGGAAATGTTGTATCGAGGTATTGCCGGACATTAACTTGGTAATGTGGTGGTACTCCATCCTGCTGAAACCATATTGTATTCACTGGAACTTGAAGGTTTCCTGGATCAGAATATAAATTTGCTAAACTTGGAATGACATCATTTTGAAGTAGCGCCAAATAATTATCGCCATTTAAGTTGCCCTCATTGAAAAAGGGACCAATGATATGGTTTCCTACAATCCCTGCCCAAACATTAACCTTTTGAGGGTATTGCGTGTGTTCTTCTCTCATCCAGTGAGCATTTTCCATTGATCAGTAGCGTCAATTTTGTCGATTAGCATGACCATCAAGAGAAAAAGTACACTTATCAGAAAACATAACGTATTCTAATTGGATGATATTGTTATCCAACATGTCCATCATTTGCCCACAAAAATAAGTTCTTCTATCAAAATCATCGTCTTCCATGAGCTCCTGAGTAGGTATCATCGAATGTAGTTGATGCCTGTCTACTGGATGTATGTGGGTTTTCCTCAAACTTAAGCATCACATCTAATTTGAGTTCATCACTCATTGCATTGGCAGCTGCTTTTTTTATCTGCCCCACATGACTAAGCTCGCGAAACTGCTTCTAAGTTTTTCTTATTGTTTCTTGAGATATGGGCGGTAAATTAGGAAATTTTTCATGAAATAGGCGAGGTACTTCCTGTTGTGTTCGAGTTTTATCTCCGTAACCAATATTTGTAAAATTGTTATTTTATGCATTTCCGTTAACCTAACCATTTGTCAGACTTGAAATTAACGAACTTCAAACTTAAATTAAAATACTGACAACTAATGTTGTAACATACAAGACAAGTTAACAAAGCGTTTTGAACTAACGTCGCCATGGAAATTATTTACAGTTTACTGAGTTGAACCTAAAAACGATGAGCAGCCACAGTCTGTCGCGTATTTCTGATATGTACGGCTCTTGGTAGAATCTAATGTGCCAAGTCACTTGAACTCTTGTCGTGAAAATATCTATGGAAGAGAGACAAATCTCCAACCTTTCTTCGATGATCCAGGCTATCAAAGTTGCACGTGATGTTCGCGTTTACAATCAGGCGGATGGCTCATTTCTGGATAAAATCCAGCAACTTCAGGGTATGTTTGGGGGCAGAGCTCCATACATGAGAACAACACTCCAAAGAAGGCTGCTTCTCTACAGCCAACCCCCAACAAACTTATCGGAGCAGAAAGCGGAATTGTCTGACCAGACATTATTATATCCGGTTTGGAGACATTTATCTTTATTATTATTATTACATATAAATAAAGACTGAGGACAAAGTCCTATGCAAGCCTAAAAACGAAGGATATCAACAAGTTGATACAATGCATGCAAAAAGAAAAATAATTAATATATGCATAGAGGCGATTAAGCAAATAAGCAAATGTCTATTTTGTTTTTGAAACTGTTCACTGAGTCGGAATTCATAACATCGTTGGGTAAGTTATTCCATGTTTCGAAAATACGATTCACCAAAAAATATTGTCTCTGCCTCGTTGCGAATTTTTCCTCTTTTAATTTGAGTGTGTGACCACGTAACCGCAAATCATTGTTGAAAACAAAAAGTTCTTTCTGATTAGCATAGTTATACTTAGCTATACGGAAAGATATGATGAGGTCCCCACGGAGTCGACGTTGGTCAAAAGCCAGCAGTTGTGCCATCCTCAGTCTTTCGGGATAAGTTGGACGCACTTCACCAAAAGTCATACGTGTGGCTCGACGCTGTACACTTTCCAACAAGTCCCGATCGCGTACCAGAACAGGACACCACACTGGATCTGCATACTCCATGATTGGACGAACGTAGGTTTTGTAGAGTTTTATGGAACTTTATGGAATAATATAGATGGGGGACCGTGTTGCGGATGAGGTGAATCAGTGTGTTTGTGCGTTTGCATGTGGATATTATATGTTCGGACCAAGTTAAGTCAGTATTAATAGTCAGTCCCAAGTCTGCATGCGAGGACACTGTACGTAACAATTGACCGCTTTTCGTGTACGTATGGAGTGGATTGTTTTTTCCTTGATGAAGTACGACGCATTTGTCGATGTTAAGAGGTAGAAGCCAATCCTCGCACCACTAACTAATCGAGTTGAGGTCTTCTTGAAGGGAATAATGTTCGACCAAGGCATTTCCATACATAAAAAGTCGGCATAAAACGACTTGCTGGACTTTATGTGAAAAGCAAGATCACTTGCATGAACAACGAAGAGGAGCGGGCAGAGAACAGATCCCTAGGGAACTCCACTTGTGACTTGTCTGTGCGGAGAAAAAGAGTGACCCACTTTGACTGTGAAAGTTCTATCTGTCATGTAATTTTCAATCCATAGGTTTAGTTGGCCTCGAATACCGTATGTGTCAAGTTTGTGCCTCAGCCAGTGGCAAAGTCAAGATAAACGATATCTGTCGGTATTTTCCTATTATAAGCTGTCGTCCAATCGTTCATACACTGTAGTAGATTGCTGGTGGTTGATCTACCTTTGACGAAACCATTTTGTTCTGGTGGTATGATTGCGTTTTTTGTTAAAAATTCTGACATATCTTCTACGATGGTGAATTTCATTACTTTGGAAGGTACGGATAAAAGACTAATGGGTTGGATTGAGTTTATCGCCTTTTTTGAAAATAGCGGTGACAGATGCCTTCTTCCAAGCCCGTGGGATGCGAGATTTTGCGAAAGAGACTGACATGATTGTTGACAACGGAGAGCAGAGAGTTTCGGCAAACTTTTCGAGAAAAAAGGGGCTCATTCCATCTAAATCAGGAGATGAATTCGATTTATGTTCAATAAATGATTTTTAATTTTTTCCGAAGTAAACGTCACATTAGTCAGATTATCACGTAGTCGTTCTGCTATAATTTTTGGTAATTAGCTTGTGAAAGAATCGTCTAAAATCTCTGCTGATTTGATGTCTGTAGAACACAAGGAACCGTCAGGTTTTCGTAGGAGCGGAATGCTTATTTTGGTGTTCAGGTTAGATCGTATGAACTTGTACAGTTTATTATTGTTTTCAAAGTCTGCAATAGACTGTTCTAACTCACGACGTGAAGACCTTTTAACGTGTGATTCCTAACACGTTAAACCGTTTAATGTGAGATGACATGATTCTTTCGAATACTTGTTTACTAACTCAGCAATATTTATAAAATATTCGTTACAAGTTATAATGGATATGACATTCACTATGTTCTCAAGAAATTACATCTATATCAATAATACCTTAAATATCTATCTATAATATAAAAAATTTCAAATAATCAATAACTTTTTTTTCGAACTAATAATAATAAATACATTTTTTTTAATATAATTAAAAAAATAGCTAAATGCTGCCTATTTATAAGTTCAATGTTAATAGAGCAATTATATTCATCAACTTCATTTATGAGAAAATACTTGATGAAAACCAAGATGATAAATGTTTTTTAACTCGCATCCCAACCGATGAATAAATTGATTTATCAATTCAAACAAAATTTCTTACATTATTGGTGTTTCAGTTATGACAAAAAAAGTAAATAACTAATTCAAAACTTGCAATTTATGTTTGGAGCTTTCAGTAGCAATTCCTTTACGGCTTCAATAAAAGCCACAAACGGCGCGAGACACAACTCAACGCTTTCGGGTCTTTTGGCATTCCACCCACGCAAAAGTGAAAAATATAACCCACTCGTTTACTTTTCCAGTTCCATTTTGAGGAATTATGAGGCATTTAATGGTTCAAAAATTGATTTTTCATAAATAAAACTTACCGAGTACGGAAAAGTAACGACAAGTTTAATGTCAAATCAATACAGCCATGTTTAAATTGGAAGGGGTATTATATTTTTATCAATGGATCCAAAGTATGAAATATTCCTACAAAAAGTGGACAATTAATTTTTTTTTTCGAGAAGATTCGATAAAAAATCACTGAAATGTTGAGAAGTTACCTACAAAATTAAGGACAAATTGTTTGTATGGACAGCAGATCACCGAATGCTTTACCAGTTTGGTTCAGAGTCCCTCAGGGATACATTTTTGGACCATTTTTGGATATATGAAATAGAAAAAGGTTAATGCAGTCAAGCTGCTGAAAAATAATCCCATGAAAATCAAAAGATGAATAAATAAGTACTATTCTGATAATTCTCATATCGATTTCAATTTAAGAGCCACCGGTAGACAGCTGTTTCAGCCTGTTGGGCATCGTCAGTAACGGGTAGGTGGTCTTCGATTGAAGACAAAATGTGAGGAGGAGTGTGCTTCTACATTAAAAACTCAATACAATTTCGAGAAATTTTTCTGAAATTAACCAATATCTCGAACATATCTGGATATGGGTGAGTGAATTTGGCAAAAAATACATATTCGGAGTTGTATACCGACCACCGAAAGCTAATGTATCATTTTCTATCGCCGTACTCGAAGATATGTTGTCAAATTTTTTAATGAACTGCGATTCCTTGAACTTGGCGGCAGATATGAATATTAATCTCTTAGGAATGAATAATTCTGTAGAATTCTTTCTGAACTTTCTTCAAAGTTATAATCTGTCTCAACGGATAGAAGTCCCTACAAGAATAACAGCTAATACTCATACCCTTATTGATATGTTGGTAACATCAGAAAAGGATGATATACAGTTAGTTGAAGTTTTGGATATTGGTATCTCCGATCATCTTGCAATTACTTGTGAAATTATATCACTGGAAACAAAATCAAAATACAAAACAGTTTGCTACCGAGATTTCCGAAATTTCAACCAAGATGATTTTTTCAACGATCTCCACATCTTTGATTAGGATAGAATCTTTTACTTCAAAACAGTAGATGCAATATTAGAGTTTTTCACCACAAACACATCAATTCTTTTCAATGTCCATGCCCCAGTTAGATCTATAAGAACAAAAAAACCGCTCGCTCCATGGCTTACCGTTAACATCAAGGAAATGATTGAACTAAGAGATAAATCTCTTGGAAAGTTCAAAGTAACTAAATGGAAACGTAGGAAATAAATCTCAACTATTACTGATGAGTTCATTATGATATGTAGTATCAGATGGAGTAGTAGAAAGCCAAAAACTTTCTTTCCTAAAAATTAATCACTCCTAAAAATATAACCCCTTCAATTCAGATATGTATAACTTTTGAACACATACATCACATAACATAGCAAGAGTGACAGATACGAGGGATGGAACCTAACCTCAAGAAAGTTTGTTTATTATAGATTTTAATACTCGACGAAGATAATACTGGTTTATAATCCACAAATATAGCTTAGTACTCACGTTGAAGTGATTTCAACAAAAATAACGCTGAGCACTGGTCCATATTCTCGTTGAATCTCGTCTTGCGAATTCGGGCCACTTATTTCGTGTTGTTTTTTTTTGTATGGGACGAATGCAAAAAACTTGTTCGGAGTTTTTGTTGAATTATTATACTGAATGAACTCACACCACCGATATACTTTTGAATTCATATTTAATGATAGTTATCACCAAATTTATGGAAGAGCTTTTAGTGTGTACATGTAGTCTACTCGAACATGACGTTACTAGCGACGCCATGACACTTCGAAGTGTTTTCCTGCGAAACTTACAAATTGAACTGAATTTATTTTATACTGAACTTTTATTTTTTGCGAAAAGTATATGCATACATTGTAATTATAATATGTTTCCCAACATTACACAACAGTTTTTCAAGATCTGTCATCATCCGTATTATACAAGATATCCTGCGAATAATTGAAAGCTACTTCTTCATAATGGTTTGAATTCAAGAAATGCAAGTAATTTGACAATTTGCGACATTATTAAATTATAATTACATATGTATTCATTTCATCATAAAAAATTTCGTGATCAATATTACTTCTTGATGTCCTGACCAATCATTTTCAGTTGCAGTTGTGGTTGCCTTCTTCATATGCTGGGCCCCCTTTCATGCTCAGAGGCTTCTAGCAATCTATGGGGAACCGACAACAGCTCACATGATAAAGGCTTTCAAAATCTTGACCTACGTCAGTGGAGTTCTCTACTACCTCTCAACAACAGTGAATCCTGTACTCTACCATATAATGTCGAACAAATTTAGAGAAGCTTTCAGAGTGAGTAATAATAGAATAACTGGGTGGTCTGAAAAGTTTCCGAAATTAACATGAACATAGCAGCACTCGCAAACAAAAGCAAAATGAGTAAAATCTAGTATCGAGCTGTCATCAAATATTTGTTTCGAAAAACAATACACCAAATGGTGCTAGGCGACCGCTGAATCAAAATGAAAGAGATAGCAGAGATAGCACATCAAAAGAATGTGTTTGTCACATATTTAGGCATGAGAAAGCTGTCCGCACTTCAAAAAACATCAAAGAGGCATACTACGCATAATTACTTGACAAGCTGGAAGCAGAACTGACGAAAAAACTGTGACATTTGCAGAAAAAGAAAGAAAATCCTGTTTCAACAAGACAACGTTTTGAACTGCTTGACAATCCTCCTTACTCATCAGATCTAGCCTCATGGACTTCTTTTTGTTCCCTCATCTGAAAATTGCACGGAGGATAGCGATTTATGTTAAATGAAGAGGCAATCACCTTTGTGAACAATTATTTTGCAAAGAATAACGCCTAGTAGGTACTATTTGGACGGCTTACAGAAATAGGAGCATCGTTGGGAGAAGGGTATAGAGTTGAGAGGAAACATAAAAAGACATCTTAAAAAATATCTTTTATCTTTGTTAGGTCGGAAATTTATCAGACCATCTCCTAAAATTATGAGTTTTCGTTTTGAATCAGTTTGGTGCTTCAGTTATCTTCAATTTCATCATCTAGTTTGCGCTCTCTTTCCAGAACACATACAAGCATTGCTTCTCGAAAAGGAGCACATCGGCTGGTTGCAAGTTCTACTCCGCAATTTCAGCCCGATCCTCCCAGATGAACAGCCATAGCTCCGACTCATGTACCCAGAGCCATCGATCACTACGATATCTAGAAGCCGAAATGGCGAACTTTCAGGAGAACAGAAGACCATTAGTCGTTAACTTCAGAAGGAAAAGGGGGCCTCCGGCCAACAGGCTTGCCAGACCTGAGTCCAAGAGTGCAGTGGCTTTGGATTCACAAGTGATTAACCGAGAAACAGCCTTCGATTTCCGGACCGAAAAACATCGAGCGATTATTGAAAGTGCTACGTTTTGTTCTCTCACCACCAGAGCTATGGCTAAAGATTTCAGTTTCGGAGAGGTGCACACTTTGCAACCGGAACATATCTGCCCATTGAGGAAAACTTTGGTTGATTGATTGAAAGATTGTGAGATACATTCCAAGATATCTACTTAACGCTAACACTATTATTTCACCTTCTTCAGGACTCCTGAAAAATATTTTGAATTTATTTTCCATGCAGAATATTAATATACTCATATTTTTTCTATACATTTCTGAGAATGGCTCTAAGGAATTAAATGTGATTTTTTCTTGACATGAAACGTTTTTTTTGACACTGTGTGGAGCAATAAAAACAAAAACATTCAAGCAAAATTAGAAATTTTGAACATGAAAGTTCGGCATCTGCAAGTTCTTGAGAGTTGAAAATCATATAAAATGTTTTCTTCAGAAAAAACTCAGGGGAAGCCTATCCACGTCAGTAACAAAGGGTGGTAGAAGATATATGGGAGATGTATTAGGAACCTACGTTGGGGAACATCATCTCTGTGAAGAACTCCCTTCGCGGCTTGTATCAGTAAAAACTTCGACATCGGAACTGTTGGAGGTTACAAAATATGATTGGTTTGTGGTGCATAACAAATTAACAAAATTTCACCACCTTGACAGTTGGTGGCATGTGAGGAATATAATGAATGAGGTATTCTTTATCAAAAGTTTATTTCAGCATCTTTCTCAGGTCAAGAGGTATTCATCATGGAATATGAAGCAGATGTCTTTCAACACCTGCCATTTTTAGCCATAGACGAATACAAGATAACGTATAGAACGAAGACCTTCTTTCCTCCAAAGTAAATAGTTTGGCAGATGCGACAAATATTTCTAGAAAAAGGAGGAAATGAGCAACTCAAACATGAGTATCTATGATCGTCAGATCATACATACTCTTCAGAATCTTCTCATCATGATGGTGAATATCTTCGTGAAATCATATCCTGTATACTATTTTTTGAACAGTGTACAAGTTTACTGAAAACCAATATTTTGCTCTTACACAGGATACACGATTCTTTGATCTAGTTAATTCATAGATATGATCGATGGTATAGTAGTGACAACTGAGAATGATAGACCAACATAAGTGAAGGTCAAGTATGTGACCTTGAACCTCTTCATTGATTGATTGATTGACAGCACTTCATTTCCAACAGGCATTCACCCAGTTACAGGAAATGTACAAAGGTGTTGATGAAAATATATGCAAAACAGTATAATTATTTAAAAAAAAAAGATTGCTACAACTAAAAGAAAAATAAAGAGAAAGTGATTGATTGATAGCACTTTATTTCCAACAGGCATTCACCCAGTTACAGGAAATGTACAAAGGTGTTGATGAAAATATATGCAAA